GCCTGCTTCTCCCTCTCCCACTCCCCCTGCTTGCGTTCCCTCTCTCGCTGTGTCTCTCTCTGTCAAATAAATAAATAAAATCTTTAAAAAAAAAATAGCCTATATCTGCACTGAGATATTAATGGTTCCCAGAATATAAAGTGCTGTTTTGTAGTGGGCCCTCTCTGTTGAGAACAGCCGAGAACAGTATTTTTGTCACTCAAGTCCGTGTGCACTATGGCTGCTCCTCAAATAGAAAGGAAATGCTGGGATGGAAAGATCATCCAGGCCTGAGCTAAAGATTGCATCAGCTCATGCTCGAAGGTTCCAGAAAAGTTATCCAATATGGAAAATTATAACACTAGCCCCACGAACATGTAAGGCTTCTAAAAATATAATAATAATATCCTATAGTATACCAAGTGTTTTCACTTTCATTGTTATAATGGAATAGCTATTAGGGAGGCAGAGAGAAGTATTTTTTTATGTTTTATAGATAATAGAGAGACTAACTTTTCCAAGATCACATAGCTATACAAAGGAATTTAACATGGCACTTAAGAGCATGTACTTTGCAATTAAAGAGACCTAGGTTCAAATACTGTCCTACTGCATCCTAGCTGTGCCACTTCGACTAAGGTCCTTAACCTCTCTGAGACTAAGTTTTGTCTTCTGCACTACTGTGTAAGAATAACATTTAACATTGTAAGCCCACAGTGAGTGCTTTCTACTATAGATAATAAGGATCTGTCACCCGGGCAATTGAAAGAAAAAGTGATGTATTTTTGGTTAATAGCCAAAATAATGCACCAAGAGGAGACACCAACTAACAAGGCAACGTTTGGAAGCTTTGTTTAGATTAAAGAAGTATATTTGAGCAATCTTTGGCTTAACTTAACTTACTGATTATATAATTCATTTTGGTATAAAGGAATGAATAAAGTTCATTCCTAGCCATCATTATGTAAGTAGTGAAAGAATGATGGATTTCAAAATGCCTTGATTATACAGTGTTTGATTTTAAACTTTTTATCTTTTTTTTAATCTTTTTTTTTTTTATTTGACAGAGAGAGACACAGCGAGAGAGGGAACACAAGCCGGGGGAGTGGGAGAGGGAGAAGCAGGCCTCCCGCAGAGCAGGGCCCGACATGGGGCTCGATCCCAGGACCCTGGGATCATGACCTGAGCCGAAGGCAGACGCCCAACAACTGAGCCACCCACGTGCACCTGATTTTAAACTTTTTTTTAAGACTTCATTTATTTATTTGAGAGAGACCGAGTGAGCACGAGCAGGTGGGCAGGAACAGAGGGAGAGGGAGAAGCAGACTCCCCATCCAGCAGAGAGCCCAATGTGGGGCTCAATCCCTATTCCGGGACCCTGGAATCATGACCTGAGCTGAAGGCAGCCGCTTAACCGACTGCGCCACCCAGGCGCCCCCAGTGTTTGATTTTAAAATAGAAGATGACTCACCAAGGTTAGAAAGCACTTAAAGAAATAACTTAAGTACACAAACACAAATCTTTAGCAAGGAAAAAGATAAGACACCTTAAAGACCAGTATGGCTACCAAAAGAACTGTGTGATGAATTCAAGTTTTCTAAGGGTTTGTGTAAAATACAGAAAGGAAAATATACCATGGAAAATGCAAATTTTATTGACCAAAATGTTAGAGACTATTATGAATGGCTCAAAGAAAGAGAGAAGGTAAAATTACCAAAGGAGCTATTAATTACAGAGGAAGAAGATAATTTAAAAAGTAAACTCAGAGAAGTAGAAATTAATTCAAGTTCCAAAAAAAGACCCCTTGTGCAACTAAAGTCATGGTTTTATCCAACCAAGTAACCCAAGGATGGGAAAGAGGAGAGACAAGGGGAACATGACCCAAAGGTCCCCAGCTAGAAAAGTAGCACAGCGGTTCTGAGGAAGGTTCTGCATCAAGAACGTCTGAGTTCGCATCCTAGCTCTATCACCTCCCATGAACTGGGGCAAGTGGGGCATCTTTTTTTAATTGTAAAATGGGGATAATAATAATATCTTATCCTAAAGGGGATGTGACAGCTAGATATAACCTACATAAGATGATTAGCATCATTCCCTGTGACAGACATGAAAGGTGATCAATACTTGATAAGTGCTTTTAAAATTCTAAAAGCATTTCCTAGGTATAAGAACTAGGATGTAACTATAAAATACAAATGCAACTATCTTATGTTTAAAGATAATAGGAATAAATGCATATAAATTTTATTGGGGGGATTTTCTTTATTCTTCATATGTGAAATTAACTTAAACTGAACAAGAGACAAAAAATTAAAGTATCACCATCTAATTGTTCTCCCTCCTGGGGAATCCTGAGATGGCACCCAGAAGCTGTTCACCAGAAATAAAACAGATGTTTATTAGTCAGAGTGAGAAATATTCTAGGATACAGGCTATAATTTCTGAAAATATTTGGAAATATTTTTCTTAATGTCTCTGTGATCAACACTCGAGGGGAAAAAAATCCACTCTGAATATGAAAAAAACGGAATGTGTTGACATACTATGATTTTTTTTAGAATATATTCTTCTGACAAAGTTTACTAAAATTCATTTTGTATTGGTTAAAAAATTCACAATAAAAATTTAATTCCCAGTGTTACTTAAATTTTGCCTTCTGAAGCAAGATAAAATCACTGAGATTTAAAAAATAATAATAACGGGTCTTTAATAATGGACTCGAATGAGAGAGAACCAAGGAGGAGTCTTCTAATCAAGCAACAGATACGGAGAACTCTAAAAGGTCTGAGCTTGGGTCTGATTTGAGCTACTGCAGTTGGCATAACCTATCCACCTCAGATCTCAAGCTATTTCTTTGACTTATTTCTAGAAAGAAGTGAAGGTGGGGGTGAGGGGTGTGCAGAGGAGGTGTCCAGGAGAAGTCTCTTACAGAACATTTGTTGCCAATCACATCAGTTTTTGAGGCAAATGCCTGTACTAATAGGTGTGTCTACCTTTGGAAATTATACACCACAGACCCTCAGCCTGCCCGACTTCAGGGGCAGCTGTGGTGGACACTCCCCGGCTTATGCTGACAGACTCACATCTCAAGCACACAAAGATTTAGCTCTTCAGATTCAAAGTTTGCTCCCAAGCCAGAGTACTCTCCCTCTACAAAGCACAGCCAAGCCCAGAAGTGCAGGAACACTAAGGTTCCCTGGAGGCAACCTTCAACCAATGAGGCATGGGTATCAATAGCGGGAGTCGATGGATAAATGCCCCAGGTACTATTTTTTGAGGAGATAATTCTGAAGTACATTCTACACGGTTCATTGCAGGATTGAACACCCGAGGTGACTAAGTCAATAAGGCAGACTTGATTGGCTTTCCATTCTTTCCTGTCCTACTTTCCCATTTTTACTCTGGCTTCCTGGGACCCACTTTCTAAATATTTCCCTTCATTGAATTCCTTGTCTTGGGTTCTGCTTTCTGGAGAGTGCAAATGAAGACTGGATTGAGCTGGACCAATAAAGAGGAAAAACAATCAGTACCATCTGCTTATTTCTTTTCCTACTACTATCAGTTATAAAGTTTCATTTTTCTTAAGTAGTTGGTTTCAGTATTCAACTCGAGCAGATCATATTAGAGAAAACTAAAATAGAGGTTTGATGTTGAGAGTAATTTGGAACAAATATATTTGACTATTCACACTGGGTAGAACTTGCAGATGCTTATTACATAATCTCTGGAAATTTTTACAGAGGAAACAATTAGAAATAAATATTTATGTATCAAAGTCTCCATCATGTTGTCGTTGGCAGGAAAGCTTCCTTTAGTCAATGGATGACTCCTTTACCTGCCCATAGGACAATTTTCTTCCTTGTTCTGAGTTACAAATATAAAACCAAGAATCCTTCCCAAATAGGGCCTTTTCTATCCTCATAACCTGGACCCTAGAATAAAACAATGCAACCAAAAATACAATATATAGAATAAGGAGTAAGTTCCTGCAGTGCTATCTGATATAACACTGTATTTCACCCTCAATTCCACCTATAAAGGATCAGATACAACCAGGCATATTCCAGAGAGAAAGAGAATGAGAAGACTATGGGCTTCTAAATTATATCATGCTAGGAATAAAGGAATCAGGAACACTTACCATAGAGAAGGTAAGTTTCAAATGAACATAGCAATCTTTTCAAAAGAATTCTATTTCTTCCATTAGGGATGGAACCCAGACCATTAGAGACAGAACCATGGGATATAAGGAGAATAATTTGGACACAGTAGAAGAAGGACTTCCGAGAATCAAAGCTCTCCAAATATGGAATCTGCTGCCAATGGAAATATGGAGATCCTTAGAACTGAGAATGTTCAAGCATAAGCTTGGTGACAAATGACTGGCAATAAAATTATAGAAGAAAGACAGTATTAGATGGGAACAGTTGGACTAAACAGACTTAGCTCTATTCTAACTTCTGGAGTCTTTGATCTGAAACTATTTAGTTGATTAAGCCACTAGTTGAATAGAACTTGTTAGCTTGCCAAGTTGTCAATTATTAATTATTACTGTACCTTTACAACCCACAAAACGCCCTCATTAGTTTCTTTGTCTGTGCTGATTTTGAAATGTCCGTTTTCATTGCCCTTCAAAATGGTAAAATTGGCTCTCCAATTGGCAGTGTTAATTAAATCCTTATCTTCTACAGGTATTCGTAAGATCTCCACATTGTATGCATTTTCCTCTACTGATGCTTCGTACTGAAACAGAAAGAACTCATTAAAAACTCACTTTATAAAGAGAACTTCTACAAAGTAAAATATTTCTTCCACTCCAAGAATACTGGTTCTTATAGTTTTTATCTAGTTTATTTTAAAGCTATGAATTACAAAGACTGTTGTTTCATTAAGGATTATCTTTGAAATGAAAGAACTACATTATAAATGAAGATGAATGTTACTTGCTTTTATTAGGAGATAATATAAATACTACAATGAATAAATAAGAGAGATTTATATGTCAGTGATTTAAATTCTAATTTTATTCATAAAAAATAAACATACATCAAAGTATCCTAGATACTTTGTTAATTCATATTAAATAACAAATAATAGTTGACAAGTGGAGGTAGATTCTGAAACTATATACTTACAGTATTTTGTTTGAAAGTAGGTGCGTTGTCATTTGAATCTTTTACTGTGATCATACAAGTTGATGTACTCATCAATCCAAAAAACTGACCATCCATGTCTTGTACTTTCATTATCAGTGAGTACTTTTCTACAGACTGAAAACAAAGCAAATATTTAATCAGTTCTGAAAACATATGCTTTGACTTACAAATGAAACCTCAATTGTACACTCTTCTATTTGTGCATATCCATGCTTTTATTGGATTCCATACTTGTATACACTTTAAGAACTTGGTAGACAGGGAGAAGCTGAAAAGGTAAATAGAGGTTAAATTACAAAAAGCCATACTAAGAATTTCGATTTATACTTTAAGTAGCAGGTAATTGGGAAAAGTTTTGTGGGAGTCCTAGAGGGAGCACAAAATAAGAACATCTGAGTTTTAGAAAGAAGTTTCTTAAAGAAGATTTAGCATCATTTGTGGTAAACTGAGCTGAAAGTAAAAGAAATCGTCTAAGACAGGGGATCCGAATCTGAGGAAGTGGCCATGAGAACAGACAGAAAGGGTGACAAGCAAGTTCCTTGAGAGTTAGCATTTAGTAGGATGTGATGGTAGATTCTATACAAAACCTAAGAGAGGTGATTAACATAACATAATAAAAAAACTAATGATGTAATGTCTGGTGATTAACATAACATAATTAAAAAAAAAGAATAAAAAATAAAAAGAGTACACTTTTCCTGATGAGCACTGAGGAATATACAGAATTCCTGAATCACTCAATTATACACCTGAAACTAAAATAAGAATGTATGTTAGCTCTACTGGAATTAAAATAAAATTTTTTTAAAAAATTGAAAAAAATAAAAACCTAAGAGAAAAGAGAGAGTTGAGAATGATGCTCAGCCATCATCCTCGGGCAGGCAGAGGGTGTGTGTGTCATCAACCATTGTGGCAAATGCCGAAGGAGAGCCACGTTCACTTCTCCACGGCAGTGAACACTAGCAAGGTTGGCAAGGAGGGCCAAAAGGAATGAGCTGTGTTTGGCATATGCTGGATTTTATGCGCCTATGAGAAATCTAAGGAGAAAGGTTCAGAAGGCACTTGGATGTATGGCCCCATACTTATGGGAGAGTTCACAGCCAGAAATACCAATCTGGGGGTCATTAGTATGTAAACGCTGGTTGAAATTATAGCAACAATCAGATTATCTAGGAGAGGTTAACGGATGAGAAGAGCTGAGGATAGAAGGAACAGTATAGCATTTCAAGCATGGGGGAAGTAGGAAGACTAAGCTACGCACACTAAAAAGGAAAGATCAGAGAAACAGGAAAAGAACCAGGAAAGAGAAGAGTTATTAAAACTCATTGATTCAGGGCGCCTGGGTGGCTCAGTTGGTTAAGCGACTGCCTTCAGCTCAGGTCATGATCCTGGAGTCTGGGGATCAAGTCCCGCATTGGGCTCCCTGCTCAGTGGGGAGTTCACTTCTCCCTCTGACCCTCCCCCCTCTCATGCTCTCTCTAGCTCATTCTCTCTCTCAAATAAATAAATAAAATCTTAAAAAAAAAAAGGAAAACAGACCTGGGTTTGACCACAGATCTGTACCTTACAAGCTGTGTACCCTCAAATTATTTAATTTTCCTAAAGCCTCATTTCTCCATGTGTAAGAAATGAGGGAAAATGCTTGTTTTTGCTTGATTACTACATAGACTCTACCTATCCCCACATATCGAAAAACACATTCATATTGCCCCTTCAAACCTGCCCATTAGTTATTACCATCCTGTGCTTTCTCACATAAACTGTCCTGACCACACACAAAAATAAAAATAATGACAAATAGAACCTTTGTACTATTTTTGATTCCTTTTCACGGGTTCTCATCAACCCTTCCCTTTTTCTTTGGCATCAAATTCCACTGATTTCTTCTGTACATTATCTCTCCATGTCATACTGACCCCTCTATTTGTGTTAATCTGGTTGCAGTGGGAACCACTGAAGTGTTGTAATCGAGCTCTTTAGTGCACATGAAATTGATTAATCTGCTTCAGTCAATAATTCGGGGCTCTGAGTTAAACACAGGCTGACAATATAGACAGAGCAACAATAACAAAAATCAGAAGATTCAGTGCAGTAATTTGATTCAGGCAAATCACTCTTTCTGTCACGTTTGTCCTCTATAAATTGGATGGAACACTCATCTAGTTAAACAAGGAAATTATAAAGACCAAATAATAATTATGCGTAAGAATTTGAACATAAAGTGCTATATGCCCGACAATATGCGAGTATTATCATCCAAACAGTGTGACAGGTTTCATAATAATCCATCAACCTTATATCAACTAATTCATTCCTCATAAAAAGCACATATCAAGGGGCGCCTGGGTGGCTCAGTCGGTTAAGTCTCTGCCTTCAGCTCAGGTCATGATCTCAGGGTCCTGGAATCGAGCCCCGCATCGGACTCCCTGCTCAGCAGAGAGCCTGCTTCTTCCCTCTTCCTCTGCTCCTCCCCCTACTTGTGCTCGCTCGCTCTCTCTGTCAAATAAATAAATAAAACCTTTAAAAAAAAAGCACATATCAAGTATCAACAATAACTGGAGAGGGATCAGTCTATGATCTAAACTCATGCAACAAGCAAAATTAATTGTCCTACATGAGAGAACTGAAGGCTTCACTGAGCTGGAACCAACTAGCCACACACAAGAATAGAGTAACAGTTAACAATAGCAACTTTCATAAGAGACATACTTTGTTCCTACTCCTTCTAAGCACCAATTGATCTGCATTAATCCTATGGCTTCTCTTACCGAAGGAAATAGAAGTAATATTAAAAACAAAACAAAACAACAGGTAACAAGACCAGGAATTCTTATTGTCTTACACCTAAATAAAATAAAATAGAAACACCTAAGACCACGGGAGAGCCAACGACAGTAAATGGGGTAGGGATCTCAGCCCCCAATAAAATGATACTCCTCGGAGTGGAAAGCTACCTCTCTGTCCAAATAATGAGAGGTGATGGTAATAACACCTGTGCTGGGATGCACAGCGAAGACCCCAGGGGACCTCGGGGTCTGCTCCAAAATGCTATACTTCAGGCGTGTATGCATCGTGTCCGGTTCATCTCTGTCTGTGGCACAAACCACTCCCACGGCAGTACCTACAGGTTAAAAAAAAAAAAAAAGAGTCTGTCATTTCCAGAACTGCAAAACATATTTAGGAGTATTTACACTTTTCAAATTTTAACAAGGATAGTGGCAATCTAATTTTAAGTATATGTCTTCTCAGAGCTATGTCATCTTTAGGAAGCACCAATGAAGAGGACTTCAAATTTATAATGTAAAACACTATGATGCCGGGAATCAACGGTTCTGTTGATTCCTCTGTTCACTGTTTTACTCTGTTCACTGTTAAAAATGTTTGATAGTAAATTACTAAACTTTTACTTTTACTCTGTTCACTGTTAAAAATGTTTGATAGTAAATTACTAAAAACTTATTTAAATGGCAATCAAGAATATTTTCAACATGGGGCGCCTGGGTGGCTCAGTCGGTTAAGTGTCTGCCTTCGGCTCAGGTCATGATCCCAGGGTGCTGGGATTGAGCCCCACGTGGGCTCCCTGCTCAGTGGAGAGCCTGCTTCTCCCTCTGCCTCTGACCCCTGCTCCTGTTTCCCCTCCCCACTCATGCTCTCTCTCTCTCAAATAAATAAATAAAATCTTTAAAAAAAAGAAGAAGAATTTCAACACATATTTCCACACACTTCAGTAACAAACCTACCTGGAGACAGAAATCATGTTTCTTAAGTAAATCAAATTTTTTAATTTAATTTCTGATTAATAGATAGATCAACACTGACTTGGGGTATAATTGTATAAATGGTCAAGTTGACCTTTAACAGTCTAATCTCCATTCTCTGATGTTTTTTACTAGTCTCTGACGGGTCTCATTCTCTTTCATCCACTTTGCATCAACACCCCACTGCCCTCAGCCCCACTTAATCCTCAGGAAGGGATTTCATACTATTCACCCTTCAGGAGGAATTTAAGCCAACCGTTTCTTCAGTTGGAGCTGTTAACACTTGTCATTTGTATGGAATTTAAGAATATTGCTCTGGTAAAGGATTATAGGTATCAAAGCTTACAAAGAGTTGGTATTGTTTAGTATTAAGGACAGTGTTCCAGTGCCCATGAAAATATAATACATAGATCCACTTTTCCTATAGCCCTGTATGTAAAGCTGAGGAACAATACATAGACAGATACAGTCACACATATATACATACTCCCACACATATACAGATTTGCTGAAATACTATATTTGAAAGAAACAAAAACCAGTTAATGCAAGAAGATATCAGTTTTAAATAATTTTTTCACTCTGTCTTTAAAATTTGTATATGTGTGTATGTAAATAAATACATATATGCACATATATATAAAAATTGTAGAGAATATCCAATTATATATTTATAAGTAATGGCAAGACTTTTGTAGTGGATCCATATGAAGACATGAAGTAATCATATTACGGTAAGAAAACAAATGCTATTCATCTACATTTGCATAGAAAAAGAGTTTCTAATCTTTGTAAGGCAGAATATTTTCTTCCTGCAATTTTACTGACAGGACACAAACACTATTTTAATTCTCTGGATAAGAACTGCTTTACTTATCACAGAAAATCTTCCTAAAATATTGACTTCAAAAGTCCTTTTCATGAGTGCTATACTTAAATATTAGTTGAGCACCCTTCGTCCAAACCTCTGTATGTGAATTAAGGCAAAGTCAAGGAACACCTAATAGTTCAGAGTATCACAGTACAAACTGGTTCGAACCTTCTTGTGTGAGATGTTTCAAGTGCCTTAGGTTAATCTGGACATCAAAGTATTTGCCCTTGATTCTTGTCTGTCACTATCATAGAGAACAGAATCCTCAAGAAAGACTTTGCAACCAATAATCTCTCTTTGAAAAAAAGAAAATAGTACCAGAGTCATAGTCACTGTGAAGCTAAAAATTTTATGGGTCATCTAATGTAATTAACTCCTTTTACAGGTCAGGGAACTCAAAGGGACTTCCACCATTTCCCACAGTGAATTAATAACAAACCCCAAATCAAAAATTAGGTTTCTTAAACTCCAAACCAACATTTTTTAGTTCTTAATTGTACCATATGAGTAATAAAGAGGTTAACATCTATGACACCAAATTATCAGAGTAATATATAAAGGGGAATAGCAGATATAAAAATCTAGTGAAGATCTAAGTAACTACTTGAAACTTTAATAGGCAAGTTAGCAAAGTCACCCTTTATGAATGAGTCCACATTCTTTCAACTTTATTGTGAATGGTTATTCTCCATATTGTAAGTCTCAGAAAGCCACATAATGCCACATTTTAAGGGCCAACTAACCTGAACACTTTGGTTTTCCATGTGTCTGAACAAATGTTTAGAACATGTGATGTAGGTGTCTCTAAAGTTATCCCCGTATCATTCTAAATTGGAAGTAATAAAGTAGTAGTTTTAAGAAAGGAGATAATATAAATAAGAGCTTTAAAAGATTGTGTTTTCAGTAGATGTCATTAAATACCTCCCTAAATAAAACCTAATAAAAATATAGATATTAATTTTAATTTTATTGTAATCTTATTCTGTATGTCCTCTCTTGGAGGTGAGAATAATGATAAACCCACAAAACGATAAAGTGAAATAAAGTATAAAAACTAAATACAATTCAAAGCTTGAATAACTGTTATCTGCTTTTATAATTAATTGGTATCATGTTGACAACACCAGACTCCTATAATATCTTGTAGGTTACACTCTGTTTGGATATAATAGGATTACCCATTCTGGTAAATAGATACTGGTTCAGTATCATCTCAGGATAATCTGGTCTTGGGTATAAAAAACCCAATGTCTCAAAAAATGTAGATAAACATATTTAACATAATACATTTTACTTTTAAAAGTTTCCTTACATAAGGGAAACAAACGCAAAAGTGAACTATTGGGACTTCATCAAGATAAGTTTTTGCACAGCAAAGGAAACAGTCGACAAAACCAAAAGGCAACAGACAGAATGGGAAAAGATATTTGCAAATGTCTTTTCAGATAAAGGGCTAGTATCCAAAATCTATAAAGAACCTATCAAATTCAACACCCAAAGAACAAATAATCCAATCAAGAAATGGGCAGAAGACATGAACAGACATTTCTGCAAAGAAGACATCCAAATGGCCAACAGACACATGAAAAAATGCTCAAGAGCACTCAGCATCAGGGAAATACAAATCACAACCATAACGAAATACCACCTCACACTGGTTCGAATGGCTAACATTTACAAGTCAGGAAATGACAGATGTTGGCGAGGATGCAGAGAAAGGAGAACTCTCTTATACTGTTGGTCGGAATGCAAGCTGGTGCAGCCACTCTGGAAAACAGTATGGAGGTTCCTCAAAAAGTTGAAAAGAGTGCTGCTCTACGACCCAGCAATTGCACTACTGGGTATTTACCCTGAAGATACAAATGTAGGGATCCAAAGGGGCACCTGCACCCCAATGTTTATAGCAGCAATGTCCACAATAGCCAAACTATGGAAAGAGCCCAGATGTCTATCAACAGATGAATGGATAAAGATGATGTGGTATGTATAGATAGATAGATAGATAGATAGATAGATAGATAGATACACAGATAGATAGATAGATAGATAGATAGATACACAATGGAATAATACTCAGCCATCAAAAAAATGAAATCTTGCCATTTGCAATGATGTGGATGGAACTAGAGGGTATTATCCTAAGCGAAATAAGTAAATACAAGAAAGACAATTATCATAGGATCTCACTCATATGTGGAATTTAAGAAACAAAACAGAGGATCACAGAGCAAGAGAGGAAAGAATACAACAAGAGGAAATCAGAGAGGGAGACAAACCATAAGAGACCCTTTATCACAGAAAACAAACTAAGGGTTGCTGGAGGGGAGGGGGTTAAGGGTGAGGGGATGGGGTAACTGGGTGATGGACATTAAGAAAGGCACGTGATGAATCACTGACCTCTACCTCTGAAACTAATAATACATTATATGTTCATTAATCGAATTTAGATTAAAAAAACAAATAAAAAAATAAAAGTTCCCTTACCATAAAGTATGAAAGGAAAAGGCCTTTCTGAGTCTAGTAAGAATAGATTTAACTAATTGAAAGTCCTGAACTTCTTTACCTCAAAAAAGTAGCTTTAATAAAATTGAAAAGCAACAATACACTGGGAAAATATTTGCAATGTGACAATACATTAGTACCCTTAATATGTAAAGAGCATTTTTAGCTAGATTTAAAAAAACAGTTAAGAGCAAGATAAACAAGGAAATTAAGAGCAAAGGAAATGAACATACATTTCCTAGAAGAAAAAATACAAATGGCAAAAGAAAGCACATACAAAAAAGTTCAATTAAAAAAAATTATCTTACCAACTCTGCTACTTTCTGGAATTTCAAAATTATAAATAGCTTCTGTGAAAATAGGGTGGTTGTCATTTTCATCCTCCACTCTGATGGGCAGTGGAAGAGGTAAGTCTGCTGAATACCCATCTGCAGTCGAGGCATAGGCAATTAACTGGAAAACAGGAAAAAGCAAGACCAATAGTCCATTAATAGAAGATTCTAGCAAGAGAGAACACTATGCTTTATCTGCTACCTTCTCTGCAAATCTTTTTGGTAATTAACCACTTAAAAAATTCTATTCAATTCTTTTTTCATCATCAAAGCATCAAATGGAAAAACACTTTAAGTGCAGTAAGAGGCATCCAGTATTTGGTAAAAATGGCTACAATTCAAAAAACTCGAGTGTAGCCAAGTCAGAGACAACTCTGTCCATTAGACTCAGGTTAGAGTCCTTATTCTCCCCATAATCAGAAAGTTATATTGGAGAGAACAATTAAATTCACTGCAATGGGAAAGATCCTACTACATCATCTAAATAAAGCCATGATTCTCAATCTTGCAACTAACAAGCCCTTTTATTGTTTTACCTCAGAGATCACATATTTGTAAGAGATTTTCTAACAAAACATATTTACCAGTTTCTGCATTGCCAATTAATCAAAGGGTAACGTAATGTCAAATAGAATGTATTTCTTTTTTTTATTTAAATTCAATCAGCCAACATATAGTATTTCTATTCAGCGTGTGATTACAACACCAAGCCGAAAATTTTCTAAACAAAAGCAAAGAAATGTCATGTGGTGAACATCAGTTACATTTGCTTACCAGCATCTCTTCCTTCTTCTAGGAAGAGAATCCCTCTTTCTTACGGAGAAACATCCCCCCCTGCACTACAGGGATGACCACATGACCCCACAGAATTTACCATATTGCACTGAAAATTGTCTGAGTTATTCCTCATTGACTGTAAGCTCATTCATATCAGAAGGTTGACTTATTGACCTTGTTTGGGTTTGGTCTCCCACTTTTGCTTCCTTATCTAGTTCTCAGACATGATCAGAGAATCACATAAGTGAAAGGAAGAACCAAAAAAAATTTTCTAAATAAATAAATAAAGAGAACAGAGCAGAATAGGGAAGAAGTCCCTTCCAATCAATGGTGGCCACATCCTGGAGACAGGAAAATGTAGCATGAGAAGAGACAGAAAGTATCTCATAAACAAAACCAACTCCAGGAAATGTACCGGAATTTACATCCAAATACAACTAAACCTTTTTGCTTCACTTTAAGCTTACCTAACAGAAGTTAAAATAGAGAGCAGATCAAATATTCCAAAATATTGCACAACCTATTTCCTTTGACTCTAAGAAGAGCATGCAAGAAGACAGGAAAGAGTACATGGAGTATCAGAAGAAACATAGTTTAATCATTTAAAATCATGTATATCAATAAAACTCCTACATCAAAAATATCATATTCTTCACGATCCACAGGCCGGGTACAATACAGATTTCCAGTGTCTTTTTCTATGAAAAACAAATTCAAAGGTTCTTGGTCAACTCCACGCCCACTTATTGAGTAGAAGATGGTATAGTTCTGTGCTGCATCAGACTGAACCTAAAAGGGAAAAACCATATTTTTAAAAACTTTAAATTAAAATCTGTTGAATTGCTATTTTTTTAAGATGTAGCTTATGCATTTCTATTTTTTTTTATTTTAAAGAGACGTTCATAAGATAATCACATTTATCACTTCATCAGCACACAAAAGAGTAAGGAGCATTTGGCAAAAGATTTTTTTAAACTCTCAGATTTAATGAAAATAATGTTCAACATAAAGAGTAACCAAAGAAAATGTAATTAAAAACAATAAAGCATAGGGTGGGGTGGGAGGGATGGGGTGACTGGGTGATAGACACTGGGGAGGGTACGTGCTCTGTTAAGCGCTGTGAATTGTGCAGGACTGTTGAGTCTCAGATCTGTACCTCTGAGACAAATAATGCAAGATATGTTAAGAAAAAAAAAGAAGAAGAAGAAGGTAGCGGGAGGGGAGGAATGAAGCGGGGGAAATCGGAGGGGTGGACGAACCATGAGAGAAGATGGACTCTGAAAAACAAACTGAGGGTTCTAGAGGGGAGGGGGGTGGGAGGATGGGTTGGCCTGGTGGTGGGTATTGAGGAGGGCACGTTCTGCATGGAGCACTGGGTGTTGTGCACGAACAATGAATCATGGAACACTTCATCTAGAACTAATGATGTAATGTATGGGGATTAACATAAGAATAAAAAAAAAAATAAAGCATAATTTCCCATCTAGAGATCTGGCAAAGATAGAAAAGAACTTCAATACCCATTGTTAGCAGGAGCCCGGCCATCAGGGACTCTCATATACAGGTGAAGGGAAAGTTAATTTGAATGTTTCTTAGGGAGGGGAACTGGCAAAAATTAAAAGAATGACATATGAGCATAAATAGGGAAGACTCTTCCTGGCAGAGGAAACACAAAGTACAAAGGGACCGGGTTAGGGTTGTGCCCAGAGTGTTCAAGGAGCAGTAAAGAGACCACTGTGGTTGGAGCAGAGAAAGCTAGCAGGCAAGAAGTAGGAGATGATCGCCATATAATGTAAATGATTCCAAGAGTGTTGACTTTTCCTTGTAGTCAGGTAAGAAGCCATTGGAAAATTTAGACAAGAGTAACATACGTAATTTATATTTTCAAAAGACAATACTTGGTGTTTTGTTAAGACTACACGTGGGTGGGTAGGTAAGCAAAGAAGGAGGAAGACCATTTAGTTACTGCAAGAATTCATGAGAGCAGTAGGGGTGGTGAGAAATGCTTAGATTCTGGATATAATTTGCAGGTACTGCCAACAGGATTTGCCGATGGGTTGGATGTGTGTTGTGAAGATGACACTATGTCAGAGGGTGCTAATATCCCCTAACATCTATTCTGCCCATGTTCCTTTGTGTTGGAATTTATAGCTGAGTGCAAGACTGCCCAAAAGAAATACATTTCTCAGTCTCCCTTATAATTAGGTACGGTCACATGAAGAGATCGGGTTAATGGGATATGAGCAAAAATAACATATGCATGCCCTAGACTGTGCTCTGGAAAGTGAAGGGATGTGTTCCCCCATTTGGACACAATGATGAGCTATCTTGAACCTGCAGAGATGGCCAAGCTAAAAAAGAAAGAAGTCTAGGTGATTTTTCAAATTAGAATCTCTTTACCAGATCACAATTTCACATAAAATAAATAATTTCTGTCATGCTTATGCCACTCAGTGGCACTTTGGTTCCTGAATTAGTGGCTGCCCTAATTTTTTCTCCATCATGGAGAAAACAGCATGTCCCCTGGTTGTGGATTCTGCAGTGTAACTTGGGGATTCATTCCTGAAAGTTCAATCTAAATTTTGTGTCTTCAGTCCCCCAATTCTGTTAACTGCTTATACGCTGTAATAAATCCCTATCTGTTAACTACTTAGAGAGAAGTATGTTCTCTACAACTAAAACCTTACCCAATAGACTCTAATACCCCAACAACTGAAAGAATGGAGGTACCATTGATTGAGATGGAGGATGATTTTAGGAGAAAACCCAAACTTCTTTTTTCTGCATATGTTATGTTTGAAATGTCCATTAAGCTTCCAAGTGGAAATACCAATTTGGCAATCTGTCCTAGAAATATGAGGTCTTAAGCCTCTGATAGACAGTAGTAGTTAAAGCTACGAGACTGGATGAGATTACCGAGAGAGTGAATATAAATAAACAAGAGACAAAGTTCACAGGCTGAGCTTAGAGCTCTCCAAAGTTTGGAGGGGGTGGGCATACGGGAATGAGGAGGAACCAGCCAAACATACTAAGAAAGAGTGGCCAGTGAGGTAAGTGGAAAACTAGGGGAGTGGTGTCCTAGAAGCCAAGTGAAGAAAGTATCCGGAGGAGGAGGAAAGGGTCAGCTATGTCAAATGGACACAGGTCAAGGAAAAGAGGACTGAGAGGTGGCGACTGGCTTAGCAAAGCAGAGGCTAAAATTAGCTATGATCAGTATAACTCTGGTAATCAAAATCATTCTTAATATGCCTCCTGAGTGCTTCAAATACAAAATTTGAAAAGAAGAAACAAGGTCTAGCATTGAAGTATGGAAGACACTGGAAGGGAGGAGACAGATCACACTGTTGGAATGAAACATCAAGCACAGTAATAGGAAAAGGCAAGCACTGGGCCAGAGCCCTACCTCAGCAAGTGCTTTCATTGTATATGTTCCATCTAGATCTTTATGAAAACTAAACCTGACCTGGTTAAAAACTCCTTTTTTTTTAGAAAAAAGTTAAATTCCCTAACAGGACACACATGGTCCATTATGGCTTGGCCTCTACCTGCCTGTTTGGCCTCATCTCCCTGCTCCGGCCCCATCATAACCAGGAGGGCTGAGCTACCCAGGAGCTACTAAGGAGCTCACCTTCACCTCTGTACCTCCCTCTTCTTCCATAATTACTAACCTGCACAACACTTTCCCATCCTTTAGGTCCTAGCTCAGATGTCTCCTCATCTAAGTCTTTTCTTGATTTGTCCATTTCATCCCAGGACTTAGTGCTGATCCCATGAATTCTCAGATCACCCAAACCATCTCTGCCACGCACCCATCACTCAGTATTGTAACCGTGTGTCTACCTCTGTCTTCCTTACTAGGCTCATAACCTACATGAGAGCCAAGGTATGGCTAAATTTATTTCTAGGGTCGTACTTAGAGCAGTGCCTTCTGTGGGACATAGCAGGTCCTCAATAGCCAGCTGCTAAATGAATGAATAAGCTCATAAAGATCATTTACTGGTTGTAGTCTTTTTCATATTATTATTAGTTTTTTAGTGATTTTCTCATTTTACTTACTTTGATTATACTTCATGAATATCTTCAATCAAATCTGTTTCTTTTTAAGTATCTAAAGAGTTATGAAACCTGAACAAAACAGACTCTGGAATTAAAACACTCCCAATCAGAAAGAATGTAAAACCTACCTGTTGAAGAAATAAAGGGAACGGGCCCAGTGAATTTTCTTGCATTGAGCAGGGAATAGGGGCCCATCTCCTCTTGGAACGCCTGAGAACGGTTTCTTTAGTATCTCTTTTCCTCAGTACCTGAATTTAGAGAAAGAAAATTAAATAAATAAAAGTATCACAGCCGACTTTGTTGTGAAGGAGTGGACAGTCCATCAACCTCATGCCTCCCTGGAGGCTCAGTCTCAGGAGTTTCCAAGCTGAAGCTAACGGCCAGATAATAAGGTCTTTTTGTGTTAGATGGGGAAGAAAGAATGCATCCACAGTTTAAAAGTTTCATAAACTGAAGAATTTCATTTTGTATACTTTTCTAACACTGACCAAACTTTCCGGTTAGGAAAATCATCACTGCACTCTTGGTTTTTCTTCTTCTTTCCCACATAGAAATAGTGAACATGTCCTCTTTATAACACTCTAAAGATAGCCTGTCCTTTCTGCTAAAACCTCACATTCTCAAGAGAACCAGAGCAAGAAAAGGCATGTTCTTCATTGCCTTAACACTCCAATCTGCGCTCTCTAATATGGTAGCTCTAACTATATGTGACTATTTAAATTTAAATTGATTGTAATTAAATAAAATATAAAGTGCCATCCTTCGGTTGCACTAGCCACATGCCAAGTGCTCACTAAGCATTAATATTAGGCTACCATATCAGACAGTGCAGATTATAGAACATTTCCATCATCCCAAAAAGTTCCATTGGACTTCTGAGTGATTTCTATCTCATTGCATGGTGTTGCAAGGAAGCTATTTTATTTCCTAACAATTAATTAATAATTTTATTGAACATGTATTAAGGTTCTAAATAGTCATTTAAATTAACTTTCTCATTAATTCACTAAACATCGATTTGTTGTAACCCAGTCTAAACCTTTCATCATTTTTGTGATGACCTACACAATGGCGTTCCTCACGATGTAGAATCTAGAACTGCAGCGAATGACAGCCAATACCATGCCGTGTATCCAAATACTTACACACACTTCAGGATTCCCATCTCATTTTAACATCAGAATCACTGTGACACTTGAAATCGATCTCTTATTCCCTGGAAACCACTGTTCTTACCATTAATTTAACATGAACCTGTTGACTACAAGTTAGGTATTACCGAGGCTATAAGCACAAAAAGAATCAATTCGTGCCCTCAAGCAACTACAGATAAATTGTTTGCACAAATAAAAAAAAAAATTCCAAATGCTTACAAAAGAGGGGTAACCAAACTGACACGGACACACAAAAGCAATTAGTTGGACTTTAGAGGTGGAAGAAGCCTTCCCGGAGGAGGTGCCATTTAGGATTAACAAAGCAAAACCCAAAGCCAATGGTTAGCCAGTGTTGGTGGGTGAGAAGGGGAAGAGAGAGGGAGGGAGGGAAAGCAAACTGAAGGGGAGGGAAAAGAAGAGGATAAAAACCGATTTATCCTTTTGGCCTCTTTGCAATTTTTTAACTTTTTAAAATTTTTTTAAGATTTTATTTATTTGATAGAGAAAGAAAGAGAGCACAAGCAGGGGGAGTGGAAGAGAGAGAAGCAGGTTCCCTGCTGAGCAGGGAGCCCTATGCAGGGCTCGATCCCAGGACCCTGGGATCATGACCTGAGCTGAAGGCAGACACTTAACTGACTAAGCCACCCAGGCACCCCCCTCTTTGCAATTGTTAATGAAAGTATTTAAATTTAAAAAAAAGCATGCCTGAAAATATCAATGTATTTTGAATACCTTCTTCTGATGTTCCAGGAGCACCTTAATCTTTTTCTGTGTCTGGGTTTTGGTGTCAGAAAGCCATATGATGAATGATCTGTTCTCATCAGACAACACCACATTGCTGGCTGTGTATACTGAGCCGTCATCAAGAACTCTGAAGTCAGGGTCACCGGACTGGATGAGGTCTGCAGACCTGAGGCACTCTTTCAAATTAACTGCAAGCAAAAGTTTCCAAGTTGCAAAGTAGAAACACATACAAAAAGACAAAAAGAAGTGTTAAAACAATGTATACATCTTCTTCAAAATCATGAAGTAGAATAAAATAAACCAATCACTTCACATTTACCAAATACCTTAGATTCTTTACATGTATAAAAAAATGACAACTGTCTTTCAGTTAAAAAATAATTCTTGGGCGCCTGGGTGGCTCAGTTGGTTAAGCGACTGCCTTCGGCTCAGGTCATGATCCTGGAGTCTCTGGATCGAGTCC